CTCTGCCAATTACAGTCACAAAAGTAATGTTTCGGGTAAGCATGGGTACCAACCGTAGGATGGATGACCTCACTCGTGTCCCCTTAGCATGCACAGAAAGTATATTTTGAGCCCCTTGAGTGAAATAGGTGCCATGGCAAATTTCCTAAGAAATACACATTTGGGGCAGTTTTTGATTTTACTCGGGACTTTTTGAATAGATTGACATAGAATGCGCCATCTGGCTACCAGTTTTGGTGCAATCTGCTAAACAAAACAGCATATATATGAATGTTTATATCTAAAAGAACTGTTTTACATTCTGTCTCTATCAAGTGGATGGCTCGTTTAATATACCAGAGTAGTTAAACCAATCCAAGTTGGTGAGTGTCACATATTTACTGAATGATTAATCTTAGTCTTGTGGACTGCATCTTGTTTCTTTTTTTTTTGATTTCCAAGAGTTTGTTGAAAGTATTTTTTTGTGTCACTAAATTTACTTAATTTCCATGCACCTTAAAATATTTCTATTTTATTTTCCATATACGGCAATCAGAATCCACACTTTTCAGAAAAAGTTAACAGAAATACTTTTGTAGGAGTATCGTAGTAAGTATGTTAATTGACATGTCTGTTTCTGCTATTTACGGCACAACAAGTAAACTTTCAAAATTTGTGTAAAATATATTTCCAGAAAGTATGTGTTATACTGAATAATTCAGGGACTATTTTATTTAATTATTAACTTTCAAAATTTGTATCTGCCTCGTAATGAAATATTAAGGTTTCGTAGAATTCAACAATGCTACGTTAATACTGTTTTTATTTATTATTATTCAGTGATTACTATAACTTTTCAATAGTTTTGTTTGATTGCTTGTAAACGGCCTCATAACATATTAATATTCATATAAACAATGAATGAAATTAAAAGTTATAGAATATACCTGTAATGTTTGTACAGATGCTTCATAAAAAAAATATCTCATCAACGATACACTGTATTAACTTACGTAAAATACTGTTAATGTAATTACTTTTACTGATGGAATATGTTCATGTGTGGTGAACAAAAAAGTATTTCTCGTTTCGTTTCGTGTTTCTTTACTTGTCCTTCAATCGGGGAGGAGCCTCTAAAGTCATGTGACTGGAGTTGTTTCGTACAAAAAAACACAAAATCGTCCAGAAGAGACAGGCAACGGCTAACCATTTCCTGTCACGATTAGAAAATTAAATCTATCTGTTAAATTCCATCCATTCGTAGTTCGTGAGAAGAATGTGAAATATTTCTTCAAACTTACATGCTGTCGTATCGAAACAACGATCTCTTTTTTTTTTCAGAACAGAGCTCATATTAGATTAACTTCGCATTGCAATAGATGCAGAAAATTAATTAATACTAGTTCAGCAGCTTACCGCTGTATGTATATGCAGTTTTATATATGTTCAAAATAAAGAAATAAAGCAGTAGAGCAAGGAAGGCTTACCTTCCAAAAGTAATAGGCAAGAAAAATCATATGTTCCAAATCAGTATAGCAAGGAAAGCCTACCTTCCAAAAGTAATAGGCAAGAAAAATCATATGTTCTAAATCAGTATAGCAAGGAAAGCCTACCTTCCAAAAGTAATAGGCAAGAAAAATCATATGTTCCAAATCAGTGTACCAAGGAAAGCCTACCTTCCAAAAGTAATAGGCAAGAAAAATCATATGTTCCAAATCAGTATAGCAAGGAAAGCCTACCTTCCAAAAGTAATAGAACAAGAAAGAATTACTTTCGAAAACAGCTTTAGGGAAAGAAAGGACTTCTTTCCAAAAGGACTACATGGTTTCTTAGATGTGGTTTATCAACTTTTTTACATTTGTCTTGTTTTCTTTATAATAACAGTAACCGGATAATTAGCACTTATAAGATCCTATTCGAAACTTTTTCTATATTTTCAGCACAACACAAGTTTACATTTATTTGACGAAATGATTAGTTTTGTTTTTTGCTCTATGTTTTTCAGTGTTCTATAGGTTTTTGTGACAGGACCTGAAATCTACTGAGATAAACCCGATATAGTGAAGAAACTGGCTTAATGCTCATTTTGATTGAAATCATTGAAACATGTTGATTAAAATTCACATTGAATAATCAAATGTGTAGGTGCTTATCCTAAGCATTTTCCTCAGAGGATTAACTTTATCGATAAGCTGATACTGCAAATTTCTTCGAACCACACCTAAGCCCATTAAACGTTTCTTTTTCCATCTAACCGTCATTAATATTCATCTTTATCAAAACTAAATAACTATATCTAATTCACTGTGTTGTTTGTACCTTCTTACTTAAAAAGATTATAATGCCTGGTTTCGTCAGTTACTATCCTAGATATTTTTGTTTCTCATCACAATAATACTTCACGATATTTGGCCAATTTAGAAGATTTATGTTAATCCTAAATCCATAAACAAAGCCAACAATGTAAAATAATATGCATAATAATAATAATACAATCATAATATATGTTTATTAAACATTCTAAACAATACTGTTTATGAAATTCACATTTAAAAAAATATAGAGTACTACATCTTACTTTCGGAACACAAACATTTAGTGGTATATTTCGAGAACTATCTTTCATTGTTATTGTGTACTTTCAATGGAAATATACATCCCTTAGTTATTATTCACGATCGTTCAAGTTCTCATAATTTACCAAAGTTGTT